GCTCAATGGATAGAGCGACGACTTGGGGACTGAAGGGACCCGGGTTCGATTCCGGTCAAGGGCATGTACCTTGGTTGCGGGCATATCCCCAGTAGGGGGTGTGCAAGAGGCAACTGATTGATGACTCTCTCTCATCGATGTTTCTAACTCTCTATCTCTCTCCCTTCCTCTCTGTACAAAATCAATAAAAATATATTAAAAAAAAAAAAAGAAATAGAGAAGCTGCCTCGAAATGAAAATAACTTACAGTTACTGAATGCTTATCAATTCTAAGGTATTAACTCATTTAATATATGTAGTTCAACCCTCACAACAACATTGTGAGGTAGGTACTAATATTATCATCTGTATATTACAGATGGGAAAACCGAGGCTCAGATAGTAATTTGCCCAAAGTCACAGAGCACGTAAGTTGGGAAACTCATGACAGTACCCACCATTGTTCCCATCCAAACAAGAGGGAAAGGGTATTTTTATAAAATCTGTGTGGTCAGAAATGAGGGAAGGCAGAAACTGGGAAAGACAAGAATGAAAGGGAGCCAAGCCTAAGGCTCTTGGGCCTGAGTTACAACTAAAGTCTACTTGGATTCACAAAAGCTTCTCTGAAAAGGGTGAATATCCCTAGGAATGATTTTCCTTTAATTATCATTTCATTCCATTATGTTTGAGACATGTTCTTTTTGACTGATCAAATATTAATTTGTGTTGGCATATCAAATGTGAGGTTCAGATGGTAGAGACTAATACACCATAAAGATAACCTTCCCTTCCCAACAGTATGAAGAGTGATCTAACTCAGTGTTTCCCAAACTTCTCTCATGATGAGAATCACCTGGTGGAGTTGTTAAAATACAGATTCCTGAATCCCAACTAAGAAGTGCTAAACTAGAATTTTTGGGAACATATAGGTAAAATTGTATACTTAACTAGTGCTCTGTCTTAGATTCTAGTTTAGCACTTCTTAGTTGGGATTTAGAAATCTGTAGTTTAACAACTCCACCAGGTGATTCTCATCATGAGAGAAGTTTGGGAAACACTGATCTAACTGAAGTTTGTGGTCCTGACTGTGCAATATTAAATGCCAATCCGCACAGCAATTCTACCTTTTCTGTCTGGATGCACATAGCAATCTGGGTATAGGAACCCAGTTAGAGCTGGTGTCTTGCCAGATTAGTGATAGGAAATCAACAAGGCAAAGGAGATGTGGTTCCTGCCAAGAGAGTGGTAAAGTAACTTTAAAATAGAATGCAGCTGGAGATCAAAGGAAGTGAAGGCAGGAGAAGACTGATAGGGATAAGAAAGAAAACTGTGGACTGGAGGTTCCAAGCCAGAGAAATCTGAGAAGGGTGAAGAAGAGTGGGGAAGAGCACTGGAAATGGGATTCAGGAAACGGAGGGCAGTTGTACTGGAAGTAACTGAGTGAGAAAGCTAGGATGGAAGTTCTGGACAGAGAATATGAAAGCTGCATTTACAAGGTTATAGATGAAACAGATTGGGTGTATGACAAGTTCCATGGTGAGAGAACATAAGCAAGTGGCTGAAGATCACTGGAGACAGCATGTCAAGGAAATCTGAGACTGATGCTTGGAGGGCTGTCTACTTGGGTGATGAATTCATTCAGTATGAGGGCAGGAGTTAAGGTAAAAACGAGACTGTAAGTCATGTGTCAGTCGTTAATAAATTTAGTCTTGAAAGGCTAGGTATGGCTTAGTAAATACTGTGTATTCCAAAAAGGGAATGCTTCTGCCTTACCTTCGAGCTTTTAGTCTAAAAACAATTCATACAGATGCAGAAATAAGTAGCAGCTTTAAGAAAAATGAGTTGCCTTTAATTTTTAAGACTAATCTTTGCTCCACTTTTCAGACTTGGTAAGAATATCTGCTTCACATTTTCATTCTAAGGCTAGGTTTTCTCTGCTAAAATATCATGGAGTGAAATCAACAAGCAAGAAAAATCTCAGTTCCCTGCTCTCATACATTTTTGGAATAAATGTGTTTAAAGTAAATTATACCTTATCACCTGAGATCTGACTTAAATACATCTGATGAGACAAGTTCCCCAATACTCATATATATATGAGTATTGGGGAACTTTTTTTTAAGTAATTTTTTTTAAGTATAATCTTGATAGTACAGGATGGCATGCTATTTACTGACAGACTAACCTTTACAAAAACTTCCACCTTCAACAAGTTGAAATTATTGTTACTAATCCTTCAGAATGTCATTGTCTGCCTCAAAAAGCAGCATGTTTTGTCCAAGTCATACAGAAGTGGCTAGATGGGCACCATTTGGTTACCAAATGGTGCAATGCAGAGGGCAGGGAAAAACTATTTCTGCAGTGTGTGTTACTGTGCAAGGAAAACAAGGAAATGTCAAATATGATTCCTAATGTCAAGAAGCTTATAACTTATTGGTCAGTTACATAATGCTTGAGGCCAGAGGCATACCTTACATTTTTAAAATCACCCACGGTATCAAACGTAAGCGTTTATAGATATCAACAAGAAGTTAATATAAAGTGGAATCAACAGTAGAACAAGTTTAGAATTAAGAAATAGAATACACATTTAATATAGGTGAGAGAAAGAAATAACAGTTGAGCTAGTATCACTGTAATCTATGAAAAATTTTGCTCCTATTCTAACTTTACATTTTTATTTTGGGAATGTAGCGACATGTAGTAGGAATTCCCTATTCCTATCATTGAAATATTTAGGGAAGAAAAGAACCAGGTCAGCTTTTCCTAGAGGCAGGAATTAGAGGTCAGGCTTATTTTGTGTTAGGACATCTAGAGTGGCTTAACTGCCGAAACTGGTTTGGCTCAGTGGATAGAGCATTGGTCTGTGGACTGAAAGGTCCCAGGTTCTATTTCCGCGACCAGGCCAGCAGCAGGGGGCAGTTAGGGATGACTAGGCCAGTAGGGTGGGCAGTTAGGAGAGATCAGGCCAGCATGCAGAGGCAGTGAGGGGCAGTCAGGTCGGGGGGCGGGGCAGTTTGGGGTGACCAGGCAGGTGAGCAATTAGGAGCCAGCAGTCCAGGATTGTGAGAAGTCTCTGTCCAGAACTTCCATCCTAGCTTTTTCCCTCAGTTACTTCCAGTACAATCATCCTCCGTTTCCTGAATCCCATTTTTATACACTTGGAGATCCGGCCTAAACTGGGAGTTGGACATCCCCCAAGGGGTCCCAGATTGGAAAGGGTGCAGGCTGGGCTGACCCTCCCACCACCTGTGCATGAATTTCGTGCACCAGGCCTCTAGTAACAATATATAATCCAAGAGGAGAAGGGTTTCAATAACAAGTTGGTTAATAGTTTAACATGCTTAAAAGGGCTGTTGCTTAAAGGTTGTTTCCTTGGCTATCTGGGACAGAATGCAGGGTTAAACCACTCAGCTGCCTCCTGCATGCCCCACACTGGAGATTGAGCCTGCAACCCAGGCATGTGCCCTGACCAGAAATTGAACCAGCAACCTTTTGGTTCCTGGGCAGTTACTCAATTGTTGGGCGAATAAAATATATATATATTTAATGGTTTTCTATTTAAGACCTTTTATTATTGAAAAACATACATTTTATTGAGAAGGTAAAGTGTTGATCTGTATCTACACATCTGAGACTAGTCTTTCCTGGCCCCTGGAATGTGTATGTAAAATGAGGATCAAAGCCCAGAAGAGTTCACTATCAATAACAAAGATTACCCTGGCCGGTGTGGGCTGTTGGTTGAGCATCACCATCCAGTGCACAGAAAGGTCTCCGGTTCAATTCCAGGTCAGGACCGGTCCTCCCAACAGGGTGAGTGTGGGAGGCAATCAATCTATTGATGCTTCTCGCTTTCTCCCTTCCCCTCTAAAACCAGTAACAACATAATTTTTAAAAATAACAAACATTATTTGTGAAGTCTTCCTAGAATGTGACTTAACTTTGAAAAGTGCTGTGGGCCTTTGGAGCCAGGGAAAACTACTCTTAAGATTTGCTGCTCTATATAGACACCTTGTTTCTGAGATTTGGGATTTTAATTGGACATCACCCTGTGTGTTTGGTCTCTTCCTTCCTAGCCATGATCTACTGGAAATGTTCCAATATAAATTCTAGATAGGATATTTAAATGAGGGTCCTGGAGAGCTTCAGCATCAGATCTAATATTGCTCTTTTCTGAAAGCTTCTTTCATTTTTTGTTCCTCAAACATCATCTTTAATTTATAGGCTCATTGGTCTCTCCCTTAAAACTATTACTGATAATTTATGGAAGTAGGAGAGCTGAGAGTTGTTTTTAATACGTTTTGCTTCTCCTTGTAACAGAGAAGATTAATTGGTTAAAAAGATGAGAACAGAGAGATATTCAGCTCACACCACAATGATTAATTTGACTTCCCTTTAGTTTAAAAAAGAGAGAAAAAAACCCTTTTAGCAAAAAAAACAAAAAACTTTATTTACCATTCAGGCAATACATATTTATGTGGCTACCTTATACCCATGCAGGTATTTAAATAAATTGCATAAAGTTTTATGAGAGTGGTTATAGAGTTGATAGCAATTGCCTCCAGGGTTTGCCCTACTTACTTAAGCCTTCCAATCCCTTCAGCTAATTGATAAGGAAAGAAAGATGGTTCCCACTGCTTTTCTGTGGTTCTGTTCTTTTTCTTAACTGCCAGAAATTGCCATCTATCTCGAATCAATTACCACTTATAGGTATGTGACACATAAAACCCACAGATCACCTTTATTTTTATTTTATATATTTTTAATTTCAGAGGGGAAGAGAGAGGGAGATAGAAACATCAATGATGAGAGAAAAATCATTGAGTGGCTGCCTCCTGCAAGCCCCCTACCGGGGATTACCTGCAACCTGGGCATGTGCCCTGACCAGGAATTAAACCATGACCCCTGGTTCATAGGTTGTTACTCAACCACTGAACAACACCAGCCAGGCTCCACGGATCACCTTTAAACTTTCATCCCAAATATTTGTTTCCTCACCAATGTAGGTAGTATCATTTTTCTGACAATGGGGGAAAATCACTATAATTCTGATATCCCGAATATGCAAATTTTTATTTATTTATTTATTTAACTTGACTATATATTTTGCTCTACTTGAGAATCACTATCAAAAACTGTACAAGACCTGCCGAGACCGGTTTGGCTCAATGGATAGAACGTCGGCTTGGGGACTGAAGGGTCCCGGGTTCGATTCCGGTCAAGGGCATGTACCTTGGTTGCGGGCATATCCCCAGTAGGGGGTGTGCAAGAGGCGGCTGATCAATGACTCTCTCTCATCGACGTTTCTAACTCTCTATCTCTCTCCCTTCCTCTATGTACAAAATCAATAAAATATATTAAACAAAAAACTGTACAAGACCTTCCCTGGATCTATAAGATTATGGTTCCTGGCTGTAAACAGTGGAGTCCACTCTAGTTCAGTGGCGAGCAGTCATTCCTCTGTGGGGGCACTTCATCACAGTGGCATGCACTCTCAGGGACCAGGGATGTTGAATATCCTGCGCAATGAACCGTTTCATTCAAAATACCAAGAAAAGCCCCTGGAGAAACACAGAACTCAGAATCAAGTTCACACGTATGCCAACTGTGCGGTCAGATGGGCCCAGTGCTTGATTTAATGCTCTGCAGTCACCATTTTGAAAATCTTGATACCTTTGTGTTTGAACGTCTATTTTACAAATGAAGTCCAGTGGTACAATGCATCATATACACAAGCAGAGGCGGCGAGGAATGTGTCCTTTCTTCCTTGCCACCCTGTTTGGATACAGTCTTCATGATCCCGCATAAGCACAGGATTCTGGTGGACCTATGACGTATAAGAACTCTGAAGTCACAGAGTGAGTACAAGGTAAGCATATTACACCTATGACTGATTTAATAGAGGTGCTGACAGCTGACAGAGAAAATCATTGAGTGGCTGCCTCCTGCAAGGCTATGATTTCCATTGGAACCAGACCATGCTTCAGGTATAGAAAGAAGGCAAGGCATCCTAACAAAGTGAGAAAAAAAACCTGTCGTACCCTTTCTTATTTGGGCATTACCTTTTACACCGAAAACGGTGCCATAGAAGGAAGGTGTCAGGTAGGGCAGTCCATAGTTGCTTTTCCTTTTAGGCCTTCCTTACCCAGGTTAGTAGATGTGTGCCAATCAAGAAGGGAAATAAAAACAGCCGTGTTGGTTTTGTGCAGCATTTACACTGTTCTGATAAGCACGAAATACATATATGCATGTACAAGCTATGAAATATGAATTGTGTAATTCCCATGTATGAGTTAAATGCCCTTATATTTGCATTTATAAATGGCATTGCACAATATGAAAATGAATGGTAAAATTTATCCTAATAATTTAAAACTCAAATTTTTCTTTACTTAGAATGGCATTAAAAACCAAATAGAAAAATCATGACAAGTTAAAGGAGAGATGACAAGACAAAAAAACACCAACTTTATATTTTAGGATATATGGCACTTTTTCCCTGCCTTTTGAACAAAGGACCCCACATTTTTCATTTTGCTCTGAACCTCACAAATTATATAGCTTGCCATGACTGAACTAGTTGAAACAGAAATGACTTGAAGGATAGTATTTAGCTCACAGATCTCTGGGCGCTAAATACATAGCTAGAAACAACATTCAGGAAGAAACAAACTAGGAAGGACACTCATCTCACATCACAGAAACCTATCCCAGCACCACCTGCCAGTCAGCACCTGTAACTCTAAAAATGGATGTCAGAACTCCCCCCAGCTACTCAGAAGAACCAGACACCTTTGCCATGGTGTTTGCCAGAAAATCCCATCTCCCTGAGTGAAGTTGAGGCATCATTTTGCTCACTTTCACAACCAGGTTTTGAATGGGTGCATCTGATTGCTGGAAATTAGGTCATATTTAGTGATACTGCTGAAGCTATGTCATTATCATTAGCATCTTCTTTAATTAACTCCACATACAGTGAAGTGACTTCAGTAGCTTAGGGTTATTCACACCATGAAAAGTGGCCAGTGCTACAAATCAGGATCTTTCCCCTCCCCCAGCTACTGTTGAAGATTCACTAGCACTTCATTCATCTCAGGCCAGCATTCTTGTTGCAATTGAGTCTGGAACCTGTAGTTTTTATTTTCTAAGCTTCTAAAGTACAAGAAAGCGAGCTAAAAGGGTTGGATGGGTAGTAAGTCATCTTACAGTATCTGCCAGAAAATTATGGTAGCCATTGCTTTCTGTGCTAGGGTATAAATTGCTAACAGGCAGAAGCTAACAGACATTGCACAGTATTGGTGCAGAAAGCTGGGAAGACTTTTACTACAGGCATGCATGGCAATGTGAGCATAGGTCACACGATGAAAATACATTTCTAAGGTGCTAGACCACATGTGTCAAACACAAGGCCCGCGGGCCAAATCCGTCCCGCCAGGCCTTGCAATGTGGCCCGCACCGCGCTGTCATCACTGCCCTCCGCTGCGTTTCCATCACAATGACAGTTTATGACTGTTCAGTAAACCATTCGGCCCGCGATTTAGGCTGGATTTTAGATTTTGGCCCCTTCTCTGATTGAGTTCGACACCCCTATGCTAGACTATAATCTCTATAATGATAGGGACCATGTGTGTTCTGCTTCTTACTATATCTCAAATCACCTGGCAAATAGAAGCCACTCAACAATAACAACTAAAAAGGAGGTACTTTAAGGATATTAAATGTAAAGTTCAATTTTGGCATTTCTCATATTGCATTAAATAAGACAATTTCAAATGATTTTACTGTTTTTAGGTGAGTTAAACTTCTGAAACTCAAGTTTATGATACTTTCACATACATTCTCATTTGAACCTTAAAACATTTCTGAGAAGTTAAAACAGGAATTACTATCCATTTCATAGATGAGGAAACAAGCTCCAAAAAAAAATAGTGATCTGATCAAACTCGTTTTTCATTCTGATTCAAAATTCCAGAGTTCTTTCATACTTCAAGAGAATATATTTATTTAACACATTTTATAGTGATTAATTAGGGGAGTATTACCAGGTTTTCAGTTGAACATCCACTTAAACTCAATACAGGCAATGAACACACTATCCTAGTTTCGTGCTGCAAATATTTTTCAAGAGTGACTATTCTTCCCTTGGAGTTCTAGGATTGGAACTGTGGTTGCCTTTTCTTAAAGTAACTGATTTTGATTCAAGGAGGAGGAGGAAAGAAACACTTTTCTAGAAATAGCTAATCTGTGAAGTGGATGCTTTTTACCTTTTTCTAGTTAGGAATAGAATTAACTTAAATATTATGGATCTATTTTATTATAATACTAGAGGCCCGGTGTACAAAATTCGCACTGTTGAGGGGGGTACCTCAGCCCAGATTGGGAGAGGGCGCAGGCCAGGCCAAAGTTCCCACTGGTGCACTATCGGGATTGTGGAGGGATGCGGGAGGTTGGCCAGCTGGGAAGGGACCAAGGGAGGATTCCAGGGCGTGTCAGGCCTATCTCACTCAGTCCCAATGGGCCAGACCCCAGCAGCAAGCTAACCTTCTGGTCCGCGTGCCTATCTCCTGGTGGTCAGTGCACATCATAGCCAATGGTTGAGCAGCCTTAGCGTATCATTAGCATATTACGCTTTGATTGGTTGAATGGACGACCAGACACTTAGCATATTAGGCTTTATTATATAGGGCAGTACAGAGATTCTCAATCATACATTATTTGAGAATTGTGAATGTGGTGGGTGCAGTTACCAACAATACATATTCCTAGGGGCCCGTCCCAAAAAATGTGATTTTGTAAGGGCCAAATATTCAACTTTAAAGAACACTCCAGTGCCAGAGAATGCTATGAGAACCGCTGGTATTGTACATCTGACATTCAGCTTGTGCAAAATACTTATTTTGGCAGAAAATGCATTTTAACATGGGTGATTATTTTTAAATCACTCCCATAGCCTTCTAAAACTTAAATTTAAGAGGTTATGCATCTTAAAAATATTAGGCCATTTCCTACATATTAGAATTCTTGCCACCTATATTTATAATCATGCTCGGAGCTTGAAAACTGCAGGCTAATTTACTGTGGTAATCAGTCTCAAATCCCGTGGAGCATATATTTATATTAGCATTTTGTTACGGAATTCACAGGCAGCTTCTTACCAGCAATCTGATTTTGAGCCTTTCGATTTTAAAATGTGAAGAACCACAATGGTTTTCAATGAGGACCTCTCACAGCACTTCAGATGGGAACCTACTAACCGTTAAGAGACACCGGTAGTGTGGAAGAATGAGCACTGATTTGGGAAGATTGAAAATGACGGTCAAAAATACTAATTCGGTGGTGGCACAGCTCATCTTGGAAATCATGGTTTCTGCCTCCTACCGCTTTCATCTTCTTGTTGGGAAGAAATCCTTATGGATTTTTTTATTATGTGAAATTGTTTCAGTCTAGGAAACGGAGGTCCTAGGATAGCAAATTTTTTGTTCAAGGTCACGCCCATTATGAGTAACCAAGTCAGACCAAAAAAAACCCCACAAACAAAAAAACCTTATCGGTTCCAATATCATGGACTAACCAGCAGCATGGTATTACCCCTTTTCTTCTTCCGGATTTCAAACTGCATTCCCTACTCCGCCCCCCGCCCCCGCCCCCTTTGACTAAAGTTGTTTGGTCCAAAGGCCCTTCCCCGCCGCGTTTGGCTTTCCGCCTCCGGATAGGAGAGCCTGGCACCTGTTAATGAATAACAACACCGCGAGAGAGTCGTCCGCATCCGACACGATGGCTTTCATGGGCAGAATATTTCTCGGAAAGGCGGCAAACCCTACATTCCTCTGGGGGCGGGGGGCGGGAGAGGAGGGAAGGCACCCGTAGCTGACATGTCCCGACTTGTTCACGCGCACGCCCGGGGCCAGTGCCCTGACCCGAGGTGCACATCACGGGAGGATCTACCCGGGCGGAGGGAGAGGGAGGGGCGGAAGGAAAACACGGGGGAGGGCATTCCGGCGCACGGGCTCTGCCAGCTGCAGGCAGAGCTGAGCTGAGCGGAGCCGGACGGGCATTAACCTCCCCGGGAGGCCGGACGGGACGCTGCGCAGCGGGAGGCTGAGCGTGGCAGCGCGCGCCGCGCGTCCCGGCCGCGCCCCCCGGGCGGCCCCTTTTATAGGCCGCAGCCCGCGCTCTCGCGCGCCCCCGCCCCTCCCGCGAGGCCGCAGCGGCACGAGATCTGCGCCTCCACCCGCTCGCTCCCTCCCCCGCGGGCGGGCGGGCGGGGGGGCGGGTTTCCTTACCTTGTAAAGCGCCGTCTCCGCGCCTCCCCCCACGCCTTCTCTGCGGGGCGCGAAATGGCGGCCGGCGAGGCGAGCGCGAGCGCCGCAGCCCCGGGAAATCCCGCCCAGCCGCCCCAACGGCCCTGAACACGGGCGCCCCCCGACACCCCCCTCCCGCAAGCCCCTCCGAGCCCATCCATGACATCGGCGCTCCACCGCCCCCTCCCTCCGCTGTCCCTCACCCAGGTGGCCGTGCCCACCGGCCGAGTCATCGATCCCCCGCCTCGGGCACGGGCCCCCCGCTCTCCACCGGCCTCCTCCCTCGCTGCGTGCCCGCGGGCGGGGAAGAAAACACCTTTCCCCGCCGCCGGGGTGTCCCGCTCGGGCGCCTTCCCTCCCGCCCCCGCTCCTTCCCTTTCCCGCCGCGTCCCCTCCCCCAACTACTCGCGGCGCTCCCTCCCTCCCTCCATCACACACACCGCCTCCTCCTCCTCCCCCTCCCCTCCTCCAGTGGTTGCGTCCGTGACATCATCATCATGGCAACAAGAGCTGCAGCCTGGGACCGAGGAGCCCGTGTGATTCCCGGCGGCGGCGGACGCGGCGGAGGCAGCACCAGCACCGACGGAAGCGCGAGGGCTCGTCTTCTCCGCTCGCCCCTCACCGGCTGCTCCTGAGGAGGCGGCGGCAGCAGCGCCGACCTCGCCCGCCCGCCGCCGCCGCCGCCGCCGCTCCAGGTGTCCGCGCCCGGGGAGGGGGCCGCCGCGGAGGCGCGGGGACGCCGCTGCGGAAGGCACCGCCGCCGCCACTGCTGCTGCCGCTTCCAGGTCGCCGCCGGCGGGGAGGCGGCGGCGGCGGCGAACATGTTTTCAGTGCGGATAGTGACTGCCGACTACTACATGGCCAGCCCGCTGAAGGGGCTGGACATCTGCCAATCCCCTCTCACGCAGGCCCCTGTCAAGAAGGTGCCGGTGGTGCGAGTCTTCGGAGCGACCCCGGCAGGTAAGCGGGCGCGGGGCGCGGGGGGCGGGCGGGAGCCGGCGGGGCGCCCGGGCTGCCCTCCCCGCCGCGCACACGCGCGCGCTCGCCGCCGCCGCCGCCGCCGGCCCTCTCCGCGGAGCGGTGCCGCGGCTCCCTCCCCTCCGCCCTCGCCTTTCCCTCCGTGCGTGACAAGAGGCGCCACAATGTGGATCCGCGGGAGCGCGGCGCCCCCTCTCCCCCAGCCCCCAGGGCAGGCGGCGGGCGCCTGGTGTTTACACTGCGCGCGGCGGCGGAGTGCGGGACCCACGCGCCGGGCGGCGGCGGGGGGAGTCTGCGCCCGCCAACCCTGGAGGCCGGGCCAGGTGGCCGGCCGCGCCACGACCTGCGGGGACGGGTTCCCGGGGCCCCCGCTCCGAGGTCGGTCGCTGGTGGGACCTCGAACTCCCCCAGGGGCCCCCCGAGTGCCCCTCTCCGGAGGCGGCTTTAGGAGGCGCGGGGAAGTGTCAGCTCCGCGCCGCCGCCTCTCCCCGGCGCTCTCCCCGCCCCTCCCTCCCGGAGACGCGGTCGGCTGGAGAGTGGCGCCCGGGGCCAGAGTCTCCGTCTCCTCGGACGGACTGGCAGTGTGGCTCCGCTGGCCGCGTGTGCAGGTCGTGACTCCGCCGAGTTCACCGCCTGCAGGGCTGGGGGCGGGGCGGCGCCTTCAGGTGCAGTGCCTTCGGGGGAGCTCGCGTCCGTCCGTGGGCAGTGGGAAATGCGGGTTCGGGGTGCCCTAGGTGAAACCTCTCGCTTAATAGCGTACATTTCTTAGGGACCAACGCTACACCGAGCAGCACAGACATTGCACATGCCCCTACGCCGGGTTGTAGAGCTGCCTTGAGTACATTGCACGTATATTTACAGCAGCAGCAGCAACAACAAAACTATCTTTGAAGAACGAGGTGGGGACGGACAAAGGCTCCTTTCTCAAGCTTTTGGGGGTGTGTGTGTGAAAAATATCAATAGGATAGTGGCCAAATTTAAAAGCTGTTGTTGGTGGTTGTGCTTTCCTACATGCTTTCCGAACTGCCTGCATGAAATAACGGAGCTGCCTTGGGAAAGGGAGGATCTTCCAGCTGTGTGTTGTCCTGTGGGGTTTTGGATAGC